AAACTACACACACAAGAACAATTCTTATAACTTCTGAGCTTTACTATATAATGATGCTTATCTTATTCGAGTTCATGTTACATAATACTACATGGGTTTTACTTATTTCTCTGAAAGAATGTAAACTTTTTTTTACTTTTCTGCTTTTTATTCAAGGTTTTTACGTTGGCTTATGGAATATCTGCTAATGTTTCTTTATGTCCATGTTCATTTTATTTATTCAATTTTCTTGTACGCTTTAATTTTCTTGTTGCAAGTTGATCACAACACTACAAACTTTTACTAAAATTGGCCAATTGGGTATGGATACAAAGATTGGCAAAATTTGAACCATTCTATTAAAAGTCATTAAAGAAATGAGGAGCATATACGTTGCATGACTTCAGTTAGAATTTAATAGGAAAATTGGGGAAATACAATTGATAAAAGTGTGCAATTGTTGATCGATGTACAAAGAGAATATCGAGAAAATAAGTTGCTTAATATTTTCACAACGAAATATTTCGATGGAAATCATTATTCGAGACATAATATGCTAATTAATCGAAAAATTGTTGATAATATATCGAAAAACAGTTAGGTACTTAAATGTTCTAACAAAAAAAGATTGAGGACCTTAAGTGAAAATAGATTGTAATGCAACTAACAAAATAGTGGTTGGAATATAATTACCCTTTTGAAAAAAAAAAGACAAGCATTTTGTATATTTTTATATTAGAAACATCAATGCAACATTTACATATTTTTACTGCCCTTTTAAAAGAATAATGCTATTTAGTATTATTGGTGTTAAAAATAACACTATATGTGGTATTAACAAGGTATTAAATGAAGGGTATAACTAAATAAATCACTTAGGGTCCATTTGATTATAAAGATGAAATTTTGGTGGAAAGAAAATGAATTCTAGGAAATTGAATTGCCTAGAAATTGTTTTACTGAAAATTGTCAATTAGTGTGTTTGATTAGTATAATTTTTCACGTGAAAAATGTTGAAATAAAAGTATTTTTTAATATTCGTTTGGTTTTGTTTTATATGAAAATTGTCAATTAAAGAGATAGAATTTATTGGTATTGGAGATAGAATTTATTTCCATTGCAAAAAATAAAAATAAAAAAAATAAAATAATATCTGTCTTTTGGTGTTCGTTTGACTTTGTTCTACATGAAAATTATCAATTAAAGGAAAATATTTTTTTTTATAATTAGGGATAGAATTTGTTTCCATTAAAAAAAAAAAAGATAGCCTAGAAAACCAATTCCCACCATATAGGTAGGAAAATAAACCAAGAAAACGAATTCCGTGGACAAAAAGCTATCAAACAGCCAAAAAATGGAAAATGGAATTGCATTTCCTAGTTCCGTGGAAAATTGTTGCTATTAAACAGGCCTTAATTCTGTCATTTAACCTATCACTTAGCGCTACCTATACTGATGTTGTAGTACTAGTGGTGTTATTTGCATTATTTTTTAAAAAATTGGGCTCGCTTGGATAGTCTTGTGATAAGCAATCAAACTGTTAACATGAGTCTTTAATTTTAACTTTAATATATTAAAATAATCAAATGTGAATCATTTTATGGACGATTTTAATAATATTTTCAATACCTTATTAGTTTGAATTTGGTAACACATATTTATACTTTAGTGGAAGAATTTACGAGACTCTTGAATTCCATATAATAAATAAAATGTACTAAATGTTTGATATGAAATTAATGTAGTAAGTCTTTTATTGTAAATTGTACTCCAATAATATTAGAATATGGCACTAGCCTAAAAACGGGCGTGAGAAGACATGATGGACAGAAAACGAAAAGCCTTGTACAATTTCTGAGTTCACTAGATTGTCTTATATTTGTAAAATTTCTTTTATTTTTTTAAGCTCATATTGTCTAGGATAATTCATGCATTCTTAGTCAAAGAGGGAAATTTTTTTCAGAAGGTTGAAAATATTTAGAAGACTAAAGAAAATTAAGTTGTCAAGTGAGGAGAGAAAAGAATTAGTGAAGTAAAGTTTTCCATATATTCAATAGGAAAGTTGGAATTTAAACGACCATTAATGAGATAAAAACTGCAAATGAGTCGAAAAATTGTACTTAGTTAGAATTATTTCTTTTCCCACCTAATTTTAATAACCAACATATGCAATTTTTTGTATATTCACATTAATTAATTGGTGTGTCATATCATCAGTGACCTAATCACCGATATTCATTAGATCATATATATATATATATATATATATATATTTTGCTAATGTATGAATTGGAAATAGTTGCTATAGTTGATTAATCATGAATTTTAAATTTTTAGAAGAAATGCCAACTGTTCATCAATAAAGGAAACATGATAATGTTACAAGTCTTTAAAAAAATGTACAACATAATTGTCAGAATTCAAATTAACTAGTGAGCCTTGCCAAGAAGTTGTAACGATGATGTTGATTTTCCTATAAAGAAAATGAATAAAGTCAGTTATAAGAATTCATATAATGAACCTAAAATATATTTAAAAACAAGATATAATTTATAGCTGTAAAAAAAAAAAAAAAAAAATGGATTTACAAGTAATGCTATTTATCATTAATTGTAATTATCACTAGTTTGTAAGGTTCAATGAGTCAAAGGGATTCAGTATCACCTAGTGAAGTGATATTCACTATGAGTATTTAGCTTATTAGCTTTTTTGTCTCGCCTCACATTAGGGATGTGAACGAGTCGAGCTTGAGTCTAAAACTTTCGGCTCGAGCTCGGCTCGGTTAAAATGGTCGAGTTTTTTTTACGAGCTCGAGCCAAGCTTTTGCTCATACAAAAAAATTCAGCTCGACCCGAGCTTTTGGCTCGAGCTCTTTCTAGTTGAGCCAGACAAACTCGATTTTTTTTTCCTACCTTAAAAGGCTACCTTTTATGCCTCTTTTCTATTTTTTTTTATTAAAGGCTCGAGGGGCCGACTCCGGCTCTGCCCGTGTCCCAAAAATGGGCCTCGGCCCGAGCCACGAGCTAGGCTGCCCGAGCCTTTTTGACACCCCTATCCCTCATTGAATGTTTAGTAAAGAGATATCTCTTGTGCAACTAAAAAAGAGGGTGCATTAACTCTTGTATTTTAGATACAAGAGTAAAGGAGTAGTCGAGATATTATTTCTTCTTCATTTGAAATTGGTTGGGAATGACTAGTCTCTAAAATCTTTCAGTTGTACGTAATTTAATTATTGTTTTAGGAGCATTTCTAAGAGACTATCTCTGTATTGCAAACATCTTATGTATAATAGAGAATATTTTTAAATTTAGATAGTAAATTTTTTACACACTTCAACAATACTCGCTATTTTGGTCATTCATTTTGTTTTTTCCAAGCAACCTGTATTGATTTCTTTTCATCTTTAATTCAATATAATTTTTAATATATCAATGGCCAAATAAAATTTGAATGATTTAAAAAATAAAGTATTGAAATTTGTAGCGTGTTAAATACAATCACTATAAAGTAAAAATAGAGAGTGAATATTCCAACCCACTCTGTATTATAAAAAAAAAAAGTTAAAATTCTTAAAACTTATTTTTAAAAATTGATTTTTTGAAATAGAGAGTATTTTGTGTTTAGAAAATATCTTGATATTCTTCGTATGAAGTTAGTCATGTGCTTTTGCGGCTCCTGGGGCATCACTAAATTTTACCAAACCTCAGACATTCATTCTCATATTCTCTTTTTCTTCATTTCTTTTGCGTTAAACATTTTTTTGCTTTAATATATTCCAATAGAATATTCCGTTCAGGTTTCTTCTAAAATGTTAAGAGAGCTGAAGGTTCAGCTTTGGAGTTATTTGCTATTAGGTATAATAACGTTAAAAGATGGCAGAAGATTCTTTGTCTAAGCTGATAAGGATAACTGTGGCCAATTCAAGGTTCAAGGTGGAGAAATTCGAAGGTACCAGTAATCTTTGTGGCAATGTGAAGTTTAGAAGCCCTATATTGACATTATCAGTTAGAAATTGACGCAAAGAAAAAACTGTAGAAGGTTGTCAATGCACAACAAACAAAAGTCATTGTTCAAGCGTGTGGAACAATTTGTTTTGGTTCTTGCAGAAGGTCACAGTTATCCTTTATGAAGGAAACATCTGCGAACAAAACTAGAAAACGCTGGAGGACAAATTTATGAAAGGAGCACAGAGTGTCGATTCTATTTGAAGGAAAAACTCTTTCGCTTCTGGTATCAATTAGAAACCATTATCAACAATCATCACTTCTTTCAATCAGTTATTAACTGATTTGTTGAATCTGATGATGCATGCACTACACTGTATAACACTAACATAAAATAGTTCACTGAGAAGGAAAAAAATGCTTATAAAGCGAGAGGTCATTTTGCAAATACAGAACCATGGAAAATGAACAATCTCTTTTTAAAAGAAATTGATAGAGATGAACGTGTCATTTGTCGTGGGAAATGGCCGTGGAAAGATTGCTACGAAGTGCAAAAGAAAGAAAAATGCAGGCTGCTTCTTATACTTGTCTATCAATGACTGAAAATAACGAGATAGAATTTGGATATTGGAGCATGTACAAATCAATTTAGACACAAGGAAGGTTCCAGAAGATGCTCTTGCTGATGTGTAATTCTGTTGTAATTAATTTAAACTTTCACCTTGCTGGAATATTTTGTAACAGATTTTGTTAGCATAGTTGTATATATATACTCCACGTTTTGTATCACTTCAAGATGGAATATAGAAATATTCATTCTTCATTTTTACGCATTTCTAGCTTTCTCTGTTTTTAATTCCCCAAGTTATCTATTTCTAACATGGTATCAGAGCCATGAGAGAGGATAACAAGACTGTGACAGAGGAGGGCAACATCATGATACAACCAAATACCAACCCATATTCCAATCTTGCAAATCCTTCCAATCCATACCGATTGGAAACCTCAGACAACCCGGGAACAGTACTCGTCACCGAACTGCTCACCACTACAAACTATTAAACTTGGGCACGGGCTATGCAACGAGCCTTACGAGCTAAGAATAAACTTGGTTTCATCAATGGAACTTTGAAGAAACCCACCACCATTGATGATCCTCTTTTGGAGATATGGGAACATTGCAATGACATGATTGTGTCCTGAATTTACAACTCCATCAGCCAACAACTCAGATCTAGTGTAGCTTTTGTGGATAATGCAAATGAAATCTGGACGGAGTTACGAGAGATGAACTGAAAAAGGCCTTATCAAACCTAACTCAAGAAGAAGATCCATTGAGTGTTTACTATGGTAAACTTAAAAGTTTATGGGATGAGCTCTCGGTCTATGATCCCTTACCTGAATATAACTGTGGCAAACTAAAGTTGATTCTAGAAAGATATCAATGTGACTGCGTGATGCAATTTTTGATGGGATTAAACGAGTCTTATTCTAATGTTCGTGACCAGATCATGCTAATGGACCATTTACCATCCATAACTAAGGTTTTCTCCTACATTCAACAACAGGAGAGACAACGGATAATAAATTCACCTACATCCTCCATTGAATCTATTGCACTTGTCACACGAAAATTTTCTGGTCACTCTAAGTCTGTTTTAAATTCATCAGGCTCTAAAAAGGAAAGACCATATTGTACTTACTGCAAAACTACATGTCACACTTTTGATTCTTATTTTAAGGCAAGAAATGCTGAGGCACCAATCTGTAGCTACTGTCATATGGCTGGACATATTGCTGAAAAATGTTACAAGCTTAATGGCTATCCCCCGGGTCATAAGCTTCATGGTAAAGAAAAACCAACTGGAGCCTATGCCAATCAAACTTCAGTCCAACGTGGTAATGACAACAATGTTGAGGATACTAACCCAATTTCATTGAGCAAGGGTCAATATCTTGAACTGCTTACATTGCTTAAAGCCAAGGAGTCCTCTACTGCTGTACCATATGCTAATCATGTTTAGAAATTGACTTCCACACCTGATCCTTCACCATCAATTTCTGGCATATCACTTTGCCTTTTAGCTCACAACACACAAAGTTCTATGCTACCGCAACCTACTTGGATTATAGATATTGGCGCTACGGATCATATGATTTGTAACATCTCCTATTTTACTTCCATAACTTCTTCAGTTTCTTACTCGGTTAGAATGCCCAATGGAACTTTGTCTCTTGTTACACATATAGGAGTTGTGCAGATAACTGAGACCATAATTTTGCGTGATGTCCTTTGTGTTCCCTCATTTACCTTTAATCTGATTTCTGTTAAAAGACTTACTTCGCAATTACATTGTTGCCTTGTTTTCTTACCTGATGAATGTTTGATACAGGGCCTTTCATCTTGAACAACGATTGGGAAGGGTAAAGTTGAGCATGGCCTATATCACCTGCAACCCACCCGAGTTTCTCCCACTGATCTTGAACATTCTCTTTCCAGTTTTACCAAGAATAGTTTCATTTCAGCTTCTATTATGCATTCTCCTATAGAATTTGATTTGTGGCATTATCATTTAGGCCACATTTCTAATTCCAGAATTCAACTTATTCAAGATCCAATTGTATTTTCTAATACTTAATCAATGAAATCTCATGTTTGTCATGTCTGTCCACTTGCAAAACAATATCGCTTGCCTTTTCCCACCAGCACACATAAAACCTCACAATTATTTGATTTAGTTCATGTAGACCTTTGGGGACCTTGTGCAGTCGAAGCTCATGATGGGACACGATATTTTTTTACCATAGTTGATGATTTTTCTAGAAGTACATGGACATATATGTTAAAAAGAAAATCAGATGCGAAGTTCTATCTTATTTCCTTTTCCAACTTGGTTGAGACACAATTTACCACTAAAATCAAGATTTTATGTAGTGACAATAGACTTGAGTTTTCTCTTCTAGACTTCTACTCAAAAAAGGGTATTATTCACCAAATAAGTTGAGTCAAAACACCACAACAAAATGGTTTGGTAGAAAGAAAACACCAGCACAATTTGCAAATAGCACGAGCCCTTAGGTTTCAATCTGGAGTTCCTATGTAATTTTGGAATGAATGTGTAATGACTGCTATACATTTAATAAATAGGACTCCTACACCCCTGCTGCAAAACAGAACTCCATATGAAATTTTGTTTGGATATAAGCCTTCTTACTCTCACTTACGTGTTTTTGGTTGCTTGGCATTTGTATCCACTCTAGCACATGGAAGAAGAAAATTTGACTCTAGAAGTAGAAAGTCGGTTTTTCTAGGATATCCCTTTGGAGTAAAAGGTTATAAACTCCTTGACCTAGCCACCAACACCATTTTCCTTTCTCGTGATGTCATCTTCCATGAAAGATATTTTTCTTTCCAAGTTCCTACTACCTCTTCTCACACAACAGATTGTTCTTCACCTTTTCCCCTTCCAATTTATTCATCCACTCTTCCTGCAGAAATTGAGATCTCTTTCTCCTCTCTTGACCCTCTTGGATTTCCACATACTCCTCCTCCAGCAAGTCCACCTGATCCACCCACTACCTCCAATTTACCAACAACTTCTACTTCACTAATTCCCATATCTTCACCTCATGTTGCTCTTTGAAAGTCCACCAGAACTCGTACAGCTCCCAAGTACTTACAAGATTTCCATTGTCAACAGGCTTCTTCAATTTTACCCATACAAGTCAACTTAACTCACCATTCTCCATCGTCGCCTAAGATGAGCTCTTTTGCTTCAGGTAAACCTTCCTCTCTTTCTCATTCTTTATCTTATCAAAGATTATCACTCACATTTCATGCTTTCACCAGTTCAATCTCTAGTCACACAAAACCAACTACCTATGATGATGCAATTAAGGACCCTAACTGGCTTGATGCAATGGAAACTAAACTCTCTACCCTTGAACAGAATCACACTTGGACCCTCACCACTCTTCCTCCTAATAAGCGTGCCATCAGGTGTAAGTGGGTTTACAAGTTGAAATATAATTCTGATCGTACATTAGAACGTCACAAGGCATACCTAGTTGCTAAGGGCTACACACACCAAGAGGGAGTGGACTTTCATGATACATTCTCCCCCGTGGCTAAACTTGGGAGTGTAAGATGTTTATTGGCTATTGCTGCAGTACGGGGATGGTATTTAAAACAATTTGATGTTCAAAATACATTCCTTCATGGTAGCATTTATGAAGAAGTCTACATGAAAAAGCCTCATGGTTATTCCAAAGGGCAACCGGGGCAAGTTTGCAAACTACTTAAGAGTCTTTATGGCTTGAAACAAGCATTCCGTCAATGGTACTCCACCTTTTCCAGTGCTCTTCTTGATTTTGGTTTCCAACAATGCAAGGCAGATTATAGTCTTTTTACACTGGCCACAAATCACTCTTTTACAGCATTGTTGGTGTATGTTGATGACATCATTGTTGCTAGTTCAGATTTGACTTCCATTGCCTCTTTGTAAGATTTTCTTAATGCTAAATTATGCATTAAATCCCTTGGGAACCTTCGTTACTTTTTGGGGATTGAGGTAGCTTGTTCACAGCGTGGGATTGTCATTTGTCAACGAAAATACGCTTTGGATATTCTTGCAGATTCTGGTTTTCTTGGTGCTACACCTGCCAAGATTCCCATGGAACAAAATTTGAAATTGAGCAAACACTCGAGCCAACCTCTTGCTGACCCTGTTGCTTATCGGCGCATAATTGGATGGTTACTCTATCTCACAATCACGCGTCCAGACTTAAGCTATGCCATTCACAGTCTTAGTCAACTCATGGCTTCTCCTACTGTATCTCATTTACATGCTGCACATAAGGTCCTTAAATACATTAAATCTTCCCCAGGACAAGGACTTTTCTTCTCCATTTCTTCGCCCTTGAATCTGAGAGCATATTGTGACTCTGACTGGGGTTCTTGCCCAAACACCCGACGCTCCGTCACTGGATATTGTGTTCTTCTTGGATGGTCTTTGGTGTCTTGGGGTTCCAAGAAGCAATCGGTAGTATCACGCTTCTCAGTTGAAGCGGAGTACAGAGCTATGTCCAGTACTTGCTGTGAACTCACATGCTTCGGTACATTCTTCATGCTTTGCAAGTCAGTCACCCTCGGTCGAGTTCTTTATACTTCGACAATCAAGCTGCTATATATATAGCATCTAATCCTGTGTTCCACGAAAGGACGAAACACATAGAATTGGATTGCCACCTAATTCGAGATAAGCTTCAAGATGGCAGCCTGAAAACATTCCATGTTAACACCCATTCTCAGCTTGCTGATATATTCACTAAAGCTCTTCCCTCTTGTGTTCTTCGGTCACATTTATCCAAGATGGGGATAGAGAACCTCTATACTCCATCTTGCGGGGGGATATTGGAGCATGCACAAATCAATTCAGACGCAAGGAAGGTTCCAGAAGATGCTCTTGCTAATATGTAATTCTGTTGTAATTAAGTTAGATTTTCACCTTGCTGGAATATTTTGTAACATATTTTGTTAGCATAGTTGTATATATATACTTCACGTTTTGTATCACTTCAAGATGGAATACAAAAATATTCATTCTTCATTTTTACGCATTTCCAGTTTCCTCTGTTTTTAATTCCCCAAATTATCTATTTCTTACAGACGAGATAGTCAACCATAAAATTCCTACTATAATGCATGGATATTATGTAGCATCCCAAATTTCTTTATAATTAATTTTTTCTAAGTAATAAATAATGCTATATCAAATAGTTCTAAAATGATGGAGAAATAATTTTTCAGATTGTTTAATAATAATAATTTATAGTCGTACACGAAGTACGTGTTTAGCCTGAAATTATTATCTAAATATATATTTCAAATAATAAATACCTTATTTCATCAAAATTATTAAAAATATTTACTTAAAATAAAGAGCGTAAGACATTCAGGAATCAACAATATAAATTATAGTAAACCATTTTCAAAAGCTAAATAATTTACATAAAATTAATTGTAATTTTTTTTTAATATTTAACTGTGTAACATAAAATACTTAAGTAGTCTCTATTCATTTTCAGTACGATGGTTTCAACACGAATTCATATTCTCTAGTCCTCTAGTTCCCAACTCACTAATGTGTTTGATCAATAAATTGATCTAATTCATTGATAATTCAGATAACTATTAAACTCACGAAAAGATATACAGCACTGTCTAAATTTAAATGAATTCTACGAGTGGTTTGTTCAATACACTCCAAGTATTAGTGTCATTATTCACCATTTTCTACTATAAGTGATCCTAGGCACTTCAATTTGCATGTTCCATACTAAATAAATATAATGACACAGAAGAAATAAAAATCACAATTTATTTATTATCAAAATGTTATTTGATTGCAGCAAAATATACTATATACATACAACCCGACATTAATTACACATGCAATTAACATCTAACCCACCAAATGAACAAGAACTTGTAAAACTAGGTTTTTACAGTACAACAAAAGATCAAGATTCAGGAAGTAACTTCACTTTTGACCTAAACTTGATCAATTTCTTGATCTACGTCGTGCAGTGCTGAGTTGAGCTCATGGTCGGTAGGAGTTGCAGTGATAAATATGGAAAGATGAGGAATTGTTGGCAGCAGCAGTTGAACGCTCAGTACAAAACTCCTCCAAATACTAGATATGAAGGCCAAGCATGAGAAGAATAGCAAAATTATGGGGTAAACATACCAAAAGAGAAGTTGTGGGCAGATTAGTGAAGCCAAGAAACAAACCATTAGGGAGACTGAATAATTTTTTACTTGAATGCGGATGTATCCCATAATATTTTTCAATGGGATTACAATGGAGATGAAGGAGAAGACAAAGAAAAGTACGATGAGAAACCAAAACTTGATCCAAGTCAGGCTACTTAGTATATCAAATGGATCCCATTCCCAAGGCATTGCCACATGTGATTTCAAAATGTTTATAGCAAATATGGCAGCAAATCTGAGATCAATGTA